ACTTTCACCAATCTTGACTTAAGATGAATGCAAATAATGTTTGAAAAATCTTGGTTGAAAAAGCATAATGGGAACCTGATTTTAGAAATCTAAGCCCCACTTAAGGGAATGTGCAATATGAGAAAAATGATTTCTTGTGTGTTTAATGACACATTGTTTACAAATTTGTTTTTTAGAAGCCAAGCCATGAGAATATCCATAAGCCCTTACTTCGCTCTCAGTCTCACGCTCAATTTCACTCTCACTCATTCCTATGGGTGCTTTGAGTTTATGATACTTTGGCTACTATCAAGAATCTTGTCACCAAGTTGATGAAAAAAGATGTGCTCAAGGTACAGGTTTGTTGATCATGGAGAATTCATGTAATCTCTATATGGTCTTGTCATAGGATTTCTTGAACTTTCCATAAATGAAGCTATTTTATGATATGGGTTCCAATCGTAGGAGTTCTCGTGTTTTGGGAAGTTTACTTTCCCAAGATGAGAGGCGGGTAAAGGAAATTTATATGAAATTTGACTTTAGTCATGTGAAACTTTGTGTTGGGGGATATTTGGCTTGCCTCGAGGGTATGAGACGAGTTGATGGATAGATGACATCTTTGTCGAGGAAGTTTTATTTTTCTCGAGAATGGTAGTTCATCTTGGGTACATTTTGAATCACGTTGCCTACCCGTCTTGAAATTTTGGTTTTGAGGTGTAAGCTTGAGTGGCGAAGTAACTGAGTTCATTTGAGTATAAACTCCATTTTGGAATTCCTCTCGCTTATAGAGGTCTTAGTTTGATCTTGAAAGGATGGATAAAGGAGGTCTTGGTAAAATGCAGGCTTTGACTTTTGTGTGGCAGGCATGGCTGCTGAAGTCTTCATCATGGGGTTTTTGCTCCACTTGAAAATGTTGGATAATAGGGATCATCGTGCGATATACTTTTGCGTATATCGATATTCTCATCTTGGTAATCCTTCTCATTGGGTTCTCTTGGGTTATTTCTTCATACTAGGTAGGCAGGTATATTTTGGTTTAGAAAGTCGGCTCAATTGGTGGCTAGCCCACTTGGTGTATAGATTCTGCTGGTTGAGAAAATGGTCATACATTGTGCTCTTGTGACTACATTGAAGCTAAAACTAAAATGATCTTTTTAGACCTATGATATATAGACCATACTCAGTGGGTATCTAAATAGTAAGTCCCACAGCAGTTTTCTTTTTTCTTTTCTTTTCTTTTCTTTTCTTATTTTGATTTTCTTTTTCTTGCCTTATTGGCTTTTTTGCTCTTTTTTATGTGGGACCTACTTAAACTTTTCATGCCCCCATACATGTGGTCATTTTCGACCTTTCTGATTTTGGTGCACAAGCATCGAATGTTATGACATTTGTGATCATGTTGATCTTTGTGAGCAGCCCTTTTTGTTGGCTAGGCGAATTGTTCGTTCCCTTCTCAAAAAAGAAAAATCACTGATGTCGAGTCTTTATTGTGTTGTTTGAGTAGTTTTTTCGCTCAAGCATTGGACTTTGAAGCATGGAACATTTTGTGCTTATTCCTCAACCGATTATGTGGGTTCTATGCGTGACCTAACCTTCTAGCCATGAGGGTTTTATGAGAACTTGGCTATTACGATGTAGACATCTTTCTTGTTATGGATAATAGTTCGACTACTCGAGCTTGTATCTAGTTGTGTCTTACTTTGGTAGATATTGGTTATGGTAGTGACAAGCTTCTACAAGTAGCCTGGTATCGTATCTTCGTTACACCCTTTGACTATTTAGCTCGCATGATTTATGGACACCAGTGGGGTGTTTATACTCTCAAGTTTAGTAAACTGAGCAGACGCTCAACATTAGCAAAGTGCTCAAATTCATTACACCAATAGGGTGTTTATAATCACTCTACACTAGTGGGGTGTTCAAACTCTCAATATCAGTAGGGTGTGCACAGTTTGATTATTAGTGCGGCGCAAAATTTTGACACTCAAGAAGTGTTTATAATCACTCGACACCAGTGGGGTGCTTATGGTTGCTTAATATGAATATCTCATGGCTTAACTTGGAAATATGAAATGCATTTTTATGGTTCCCATTTTTAGAGAAAACAAGGTGATCTTAAAGTTTTTTCCGAAAAGATGCTCATCATTTTGAAAAGACAAGGAACATTGATGCAAACATCTAAATAAAGATTGATAGTAGTCACACGATGTTTTGAATAGGTGGAAATGCAAACGACATTTATTCTTCAACAAAGGTTGATGCGTTGCTTCAACATGGTAGATTATATCTACATTTGTTTTATAAAGACCAAGTCTTGAGTCAAACTTTATCTCTTGGCATGTTCACTGATCTTCATGAGTTGGGAGTGGGGTTTCATTGATTCTTTGACGCTTGGCTTCCCCTTCGAACTTCAACCGTCCGACTTTCACCATTTCTTGTACCCTTATCTTCAATGCATTGCAATTTTCCACTGAGTGTCCCGTTACTCCGGAATGATAATCACATTGTCTATCAACTCTGTACCATCTTGGATATGGAGGTTGCATAGTCTCGCCCGACACAGGAGTGATTAGTCGATCTTGGAGTAATTGAGGGAAAAGTTTGGCATATGTGAGTGGGATAGGATCAAATTTCTTTTTTTTTTTGTTTTACCAAGATAATGTGATATCGATTACCCCTTTGTCGTGGAAACGGCGTATGATTTGGGAACGTCGGTTGGTTGGAAAAGTTCGCCGGATGACACATTGCCAATTTGAACTTCAATGTTCTCCTTGTTTGTCAAAATCTTCAAGATCATGCTAACTTCCTCTTTCACGTCCCCAAGTGCTATCACTCGTCTTTTGATGTCGTCTAATTCCTTCTGGATTAACTCCATAGTGAGCTCGGCCTTGGATCCGGTCGAGTACTTAAGGGTTTGATGTTATCTTCGTGGATGAGCAACCTTAGAGAATCCCAATTTTGTTAATTGGTTTCATGGTTCTAAATGAGATGAATGCATGATGGTTATGCTCAATGATATGATTGTAAATACTAAGTATTTTTTCGGTGGATGCATATGTACTTTGTAACATGATTAATATGAATGAATGAAGAAATGACGGTGTAAGCTTCTCGGGACCTTTGCTAATCGAGGATACAACTAGGGAAATTAGAAATGCCAAAATAGGAATAATACTTGATATTATTAGAAATGCCCAGAAAATATCATATTCGTAAAGCAGAAACATGGGTGCACTCCTATGAATGCGTAAAACATGCTTGTTAGATTAGTCGAGTCAAATTAGAATTAATTGTCAACTCATCTATAACTGTTTAGGCAAAACCAAAATGAAAATGAGTTTAAAATTCTTTCACACATACAAATAAATTACTGTCATTCACGAATGATTTGCAAAACACATATTCCACGTATAAGCAAGAAAAGAACTGATCATAAGATAAATTCTTTCACAAACTTTACCTTATTGAGGTAAACCTAAGATATTTTGCAGCATAACATTGTGTTTTTGGGTAGGCTCTGGGATAAGTTGCGGTTTAGGTAGTTTCTAGGTAAACTATATGCTGGATAGGGATCTTAAGGAATCAGGCTCCCAAGTTGTACCGCACTATAACCCTTTCGAGTTTTAGCATGATACCCCAAATCATCCTCGGATTTGAGTTCAACTTGGTTGGGAAGTTTTCGCATTTCCCCTACTATTGTAGGAGTCACACTACTTTCTTCCTTTTTTGCTAAAAGGGCAGCTCGGGAATAGAGCTTTATGCATGGATGCAAAAAATTGAAATACATTACAAATTTAAAGCGCAAATTGATGTAATAAACCCATAACACCCATTTTAAGAAAGTAAGAAAAACTTATCGATGATTAATGTAGTTTGACTCTCATATATGTCCCCAGCGGAGTCGCCACTGTCGCAACCGACCCTCGAGATCGGGGGACCGTCGCGACACGCTCGGAGTCGCCATCGACCTTAGCTGTGGTGGATCGAACACCTTTTGTACCGGTTCCAACCTTAGGGTCAGAACCGGGATTTTGGTCTGCGAATTTTAGAAATTCGGGTTCGGGAGTACGGTTACGTGTGGGGAAGTGTATTCACGCCCCCACAACGCCCCAAATGGGTTCTAAAATCGATAAGTTTTTAAAGGGGTGGGTGTATAATAATTTGCGACTTTATTGATGTATTTAATTGAATTATTTTAATAATTTTGGGTGTATTTTTAGAGTTCAATTGGACGTAAATTTTGAATTGTTGTATTTACTTGATAATTTTCACGCCTATTGACGTAAAAATATTTTTTAGATTGGTTGGACTCGAACCTATTGGTTGCCTACGTACCCGAGTATCCGGGATCAAAGTCTACGTAGTTCGGTTTTGTTGAAGTTTTAAAATGTTGTGATCTTAAACACGTTCTATAGATCGCGATTAAGATGATTTGAGTTATTAGGAAATGGTTTTATGACTTTTCAATTTAGTAATTGAATGTTAGATTGCCTTTGGAAGAATTTCAACGAAAATGACTATCACGGTTTATTGACCATGATTTCGTATTTATGAAATCTCTAAATAAAATAAATATGTGTATACAAAATGAAGCCCAAATTTAAATCAAGGTTCTAATATTTTGAAATACACAGGAGTAATCGTAACTTGGCCAAAGCAAAAAGTCTTAACATGTTTGGTCGATATAAATTTTGCGTATTAAGTGACTTCGAAAATAAGATGTAACGAAAGGAGTAAGGTAGCCAAAATTACAGAGTAGCTCGAATGGTTAGGCGCCGCATTGCTTGTTCGTTGTTACTTGTGAGCCCAGAGGTCAGGAGTTCGACTCACATGAGAGGTTTTTTTTGTTTTTCCAGAGCGAAGTGGCAAGGACAGGTAATATTAAAAAAAACCCTAGGGGTAGATACGACATTGTAACAAAACGTGTATATAAACTATTTTTTTTTAACCCTCGCCGCTCTCCTTTTCTTCTCTCGTCTCACATCTCTTCCTCTCTTCTCCAGAAACAATGAACCAACAAACGAAAAGAAGAAAGGAAGAAAAAAAAAAATCCCTAGCTCCTCTCCTCCTACTCGATTCTTCTTCTGCCTCTCACCCTCTATTTATCGTCCATCTCGTCGCCGGCGAGTAACTCGGAGGAAGGAAGAAACCCCTTCTCTCGTCTCTCTCCAGAGGTAACGAAACACGACCTCCCTCAAGACGGCGAAAGAACGATGGCGGCAGCTGATGATAACGACGACGGCAAAGGCGGCAGCGAAGGCTTTGTTTGCATGTTGGATTTTGTTATTTGAATTTGCTGTTTTATGATTCTGATATGTTCTTTTTGTGTGTTCTAGTTACAGAGGATGGGGGAAGAAAGGGGGCCGCCACCGGCAGCCTTGGGTTCCGCCGGCGGCGAAGACGACGATGATATAAGGGAAACCCTTTTCGGGTATAATAATCTGATCTAATTGCTTTTTTATTTAGATTTGGATTAATTTTGGTATTTAGAAGGGATTCATGATGATAGTGTTTTTATTATCTATCTGCTCAAGAAACAGAGGAAATATAACATGGCAGAAACTTGAACAATTTAAATAATGATTAGTATTACGCAGAGCTGATAAGCTTAAAGAAATTGTAAATAAGCTTAACAAAAAGTATAGATATTGATATAGTGTATGTTTAATAATAATCAGTACGCTTTAATTGAAGAAAACATGAATGAGAACTCATAATAGCTAGTAGACGGATGATTATAATATAAAGTACTTGATAGGAAAATGGATTGTGAGAAAAGAGATTAGCACAAGGAAACAAATGCTGTGATAGTGCAGCGGTTGAATGCATTAGGAATTGATGAAGTAAAATGAACTGGAATGAAAGATAATGGTAAGTAGCTAATAGTCATTATCTTGTAATGTACCTAGGATTGGTTGAATCTGATTTTTCTTGAGGTTTTTTACGTCAGATTGTAATTTGCTTGGAGTAGATTATGTATATTCCTCTTTTAAACAAAATCAACTTGTTTGTAGTTTAAATGGAGTTGATTGAGTTTCTCTTGAGTTTGAGAAGAGAAAAACTTTAATTTACACAAGCAGGATGAGTGGGATGATTATGAATGATGATGGAAATGAAAGACAAGATTCAGATTTAGCTATAGCCTATACTAACCTTGAGTTGGAAGTTTGAGGAAAGGTTGGAGCTGCTCTCCTCCTTTCTGTGGGTATTTTTCTACTGCTGCGTTTTTGCGGCTGCTTATATGTTTTCTTTTGGGTGTATTGCTCTTTTGTTTTTTTGTGTTCTGTTGGTGTGTTTAAGAGGAAGACAGTGGAGTGGGAATGAGATTTTTCTTGTTGTCTTCTTCTGATTCCTTATTCGAGTGTCTGTTTGTAGTGTAAGAAAGGAAGAAGAATGTTTGCTGTAGGGTTGCCGCCGCCCTCTGGATGCTTTCGTCTGTTTTTGCGAGGAATGGGAAATGGAAGTGCAGGGAAGAAGATGAAAAAGAAGAAGAAGAAGAAGTGACAAAGTGGTTCCCTGTTTCTGTCTATTGCCTCTGGCAAGAACAAGGAAGAAGAAGAAGAAGAAGAAAGAAAGAAAGTCTAGAAGTGGAAGAGTAGAAGCTCGTTTTTTTCTCTCCCCCTTTTGCAAGAGCAGATGTGTTCTTTTTTTATAAGAAAAGGGAGCTTGTTCCCCAAGTTTGCAACAGTACTGGTTTGGTTTTGGGTTGAACCGGTCTGGTTGTGTCAGAGCTGACCAGATTGACTTTGTTGACTTGATTGGACTTTTGTTGACTGTGACTTTAACAGAGTTGACTTTCGTTGACTTTTGGTATAGGCTCTGACTTCTCCAGTTTTAATGTTTTTTTATTTTGTATAATTGTAATAACATCTGTAATTGTGATTTATTTTAATAAGATACCAGTCCTTGCCCTTAATTCGACTTATCTGTTATTGTTTTGAAATCAAAGTCGCATCCTCACAAGACCACTAGTCTTAAATCTAAATCCACCGATAGCTGGCTGTTAATTTGTGTGACCCTAGCATGTCATCGCTTTCAAATTGTACCAATTAAGATTTGCTATTGCTAATCTCATTGATCCGAATTGTACAAAATGAGATTTGCTATTGCTAATCTCATTAAGTTATGAAAAACATGACGTGTTCCGACCACTATAAATACGTTCTATATGTAAGGTGATTTAAGATTCACTATTGTAAATCTTAAACAAAAATTAAATTTTGTTTAATTGAATACTTTAACCCGGACAAAAACTGGTGTCTACACATTGTCGCTGACGGATCTGAGAGCGAAGAAGAGATGGGTGAGCCTAATGATGCAGAGGCAGTTGTTCTTTAGGAGCATACCATGGGATATTACTGGACTGCCAGGACAGCATACATGAGGTCTAGCATCCAACACCCTCAAGTTGCCGCCAACAACTTTGAGGTGAGCACCTCTGTTATCACCATGTTGCGTGGTTCAGTGGTGTTCCATGGGAAGACAGGAGAGTGTCCTCGTGCGCACCTGCGGCGATTCCATGAGCTAATCAATGAAATTAAGATTAATGGGGTCCCTTAAGACGCCATCCAGTTGCGCTACTTTCCCTTTACTCTGGAGGGACAAACCAAGATGTGGGTGGACAACTGACCTCTGCGGTCCATCACTACATTCACCGACTTGGCCAATAAATTCTTGACCCGCTATTATCCTCCTTCTAAAACAGCAGATGATAGACCAATAATTACACATGTTTTCACCCCATTCTGAAGCCGTTTGAGATGTGGACCCTAGTGTTTTAAGCCGATTTCACGCCAGGGTATGTGTTTATGTCATATTTCAGGTCCCGGCGTTGGAATCGAGGCGGAGGAACGATTTCTGGGTCGAAAGGAGTGAAGTTGGGACAAAGTAAGCTGCAGGAGGAAAATACCCGGTCAGGTGGCAAAATACCCGACCGGGTATTTATCGTTTTCGGCCCCGTGAGAAGCAGAGGGGGGCCCGGGCAAAATGGCTAAAATCCCCGGTCGGGGATTATGGAGATTGGAGAGTGACCGGGGATTTTCCCTTAAGTGAAACGGTGAGTTTTGGATATACCCGGTCGAAACCCAAAATACCCGACCGGGTATTTCGACCGGGTATCGCGACCAGGCAGTCAATTTAAGGAGAAAGAAAGCCAACATTGAAGGGTTCCGAGTTTTTGAGAGAGAAAGCGATACTTAGAGAGAGAAAGCGACGAACCAGAGTTCCCAAGCGCCATAGATCGATCTTCATCACCATTGGAGCCCGGCTTGAGCTTGGAGAAGTGCGATTAAACGTCCAGGAGCAGAAATCCGTCTTCACAGTATGATTTCCGCGTCTGAATCTGCTTTTGCTTCTTTCTCTATGGAGTAGTTCCCCCATTCATCTGGGTATGGGGAACCCTAGATTTGTATGTTAGGTCTAATTGTATGAACCCAAGTACAGAGTTTGTGAATTGATTATATTCGATTGAGGTTTGAATGTTTGAATGACTTGAATCCTGATCAAATTCCTGTTGTTTCTGCTTTGACGTAGAATGAGAATATCTGCCTAGGTTGATAGAGTACCCTTAATCGAAGGTGGCGAATTGGTGACTTTAGTCGAGGAGCCAATTCGCTATTCTGTACCGAATTCAATTCGGTAGTGGAGGTTTGGTTCGCTAGGGCCTCAATCTGTTTACTCCGGTGGAGGTTAGTCGCCCGCTAGAGACTCAGATTGGGAGGGTCTGAAGACCTTTAGTCGAGACTTCAGACTAATCAAGAACCTTCCGCAGTATAACTTTCATGAAAACTAAACTTGGTAAATTGCAATCCGACTTAACTGCAGTCTAGGGGGAACCATATCCGGGTGACCTCTCTTGACTTGACAACAACCGTTTACTTGCTTTGTGTTTTTTGTTTGCTTGAGTTGCACTAAAAGTTCACTGCTAAATAACAAGAATTCACCGAGTAGTCATCACATCTAGGACCCGGGTTGACAATAAAATCCAAACCCGCTATACTACGCTTTAGAAAGTGGTTACACTTTGCCATTTTCTAGAGTGACAGTAGGAGTGAGTCAAGTTTTTGGCGCCGTTGCCGGGGACGGCTAGGTTGTTGAAGAAAAGTGATTTCTGTTACTTTAGCACTTTCATTTTCGCATTGATTATTTTCTCTTTCCCACTTGTGCCTTCACGGGTTTGCATTGCTTGATTGTGTGCAGATAGTGCATGACCCGTAGCCAGTCGGGAGGTTTACTGCCGTTGAATCCTGAGATTGAGCGCACTTGTAAACAACTTCGGAGACAACAGCGAGCTAGGCTGGCTACGGTGGAGCGCAGAGACGGCCAATTGAGCAGCGACTCCGAGGACGAGTACGAGATGGAAGGCGATCAGAACCCACCTCCTCAGAACCAGATCCTGGGGAACGACCCAAATCCCCAGGGAGCTGGGAACCATCATCATCCACCACCTCCGGGTCCCACCTTGGAGTACTACTATACTCCACGGATTGCTGACATCCGCCCGGTCATCCTCTATCCACCCATTCCTGCAAACAACTTTGAGATCAAGCCATGCTGGATTCAACTCATTACATCCTCTATCCAGTTCCATGGCTTGAAGGATGAGGAAGCCCGGGTACACCTTTCCCGTTTTCTGCAGCTGACGAACGGGTTCAAGCTGAACGGTGTCCCGGATGACGCAATCCGCCTTCACCTCTTCCCCCATTCTCTGGCGGGGAATGCTAAGAGGTGGTTGGAGACCCAGCCCCCATTGTCCATCACTTCTTGGGACGATCTGGCTGACAAGTTCGTGCACCGGTACTATCCGGCATCGAAGACTACAGAGATTCAACGGGAGATCACTCACTTCCGCCAAGAGCCAGATGAGTCACTTCGTGATGCATGGGAGCGGTACATGGGATACTTCTGGCAGTGTCCCCATCATGGCTTCAGCGATGCTTTCACAGTGGGGAACTTCTACAGTGCCCTCACCCCCGACAGCCAGAGGGTGATTGAGTCTCTATGCCCAGGAGGGGATATCCTTACTAAGACTCCACCCGAGCTGAACCGGATGATCAGTACCTTGGCTGCTCGAGATCATTCTTGGGGGCAGAACAACAGAAGCAGGAATTCCCGGGACCGGGGTGTGCATGCTATGGAGGCCAGGTCCGGGTTAGAGCAGCAGGTGGCTGAGTTGGTGCAGACATTGAAGCAGCCTAACAGTCTCCTTCCGGGCCGAGGTATAGCTACGCCTCCAGTAGCTCAGTGTCAGTGGTGTGAGAGCCCAAATCACCTGGTGGAAGATTGTCAATCTATGAGGGAGTCCTCCACTCCCCAAGAGCAGGTGGCCTTCATCGCCAATGCTCGGCGCCTCGACCCATACAGCAACACCTACAATGAAGGATGGCGCCAGCATCCCAACTTCGCCTGGAGCAGCAACACCAACAAACCACCTGGTTTCCCAGCACCAGCAGGTGGTTTTCAGCAGAGGCAGCCCTTCCAGGCTAGGCAGGGGCCACCACCACAGCAGCAGCCCAACCAGCCTAGGCAAGGGCAGCCAATCCAGCAGCCCCAGGGCCAGTTTGCTCACCTCCAGCAGCCGCAGCTCCAGATAATCAGATGGCTGATCTGAAGAACATTTTGCAGGCATTCATGACCACCAGTCAGGCGAATTTCACGAGTATGGATCAGACCATAGCCTCACTGGAGGCAGGTCAGAGAAACCTGGAGGCAGGCCAGAGAAACCAAGGTGCCATTCTGCAAGATCTACACCACCAAGTCGGTGCCCTAGCGCGCCAACTTACTGCCCGGGCCCCGGGGACTCTACCTGCCACCACCATCCCCAATCCACGGGAGCCGCCCGAGCAGCTAGATGCCATTTTCACCAGGAGCGGCAGGCCTACATCAGCTGACCCTGCCCCGACCGGGCAGAAGGAACCGCTACCTGCTTCAGCACTCCCGGCCGGTGATGCAGAAGTGCGGGTGGAGAAGGAAGCCCTTGCCCCCAAGCCACAACCAGTGGTGAAGGAGCACGTACCCCAGCTTCCCTTTCCCACTCGCCTTCACAAAGACAAGCTGGAGACTGAGTTTGCCTAGTTTATGGCAATGTTGAAGCAGCTCAACATCAGCGTACCATTTGTGGAGGCACTGTCGAAGATGCCCAAGTACGCGAAGTTCATGAAAGATCTCCTCACCAACAAGAAGAAACTTGGGGATCTCTCGACAGTGCTGCTGAGCGAGGAGTGTTCTGCTGTCCTGCAGAACAAGCTGCCTGAGAAGCGCAAGGACCCAGGGAGTTTTACTATCCCTCTTACTATTGGCAGCATGCATGTAGGAAAGTCCTTGGCGGACCTAGGCGCTAGCATTAATGTCATGCCATATAAACTGTTCAAGAAGCTAGACCTAGGTGAACTTAGCCCTACTAAGATGAGCATTCAGCTAGCTGACCGTTCTATTGTGCATCCTAGGGGTATCATAGAGGACCTGCTTGTTAAAGTGGGTGCATTCACATATCCTGTTGATTTTGTTATTCTGGATTTAAATGATGATGTGGATGTACCTTTGATTTTAGGGAGACCAT